CGAAACAGGTTAATGCCACGAGTCTTTCACGACTCTCGCGGCAAAGATATAACTCTCTGCGCATGCTTAGAGAATAGCTAAGTTATTTCACAGTCTGAGCCCCACCGCAATCTAGCGTTCAGTATGTGTTACGGATAAGACTGTAGAAGCGATACGATATGAAGTAAAAGCACTAATAATGGTGTGAACAGTGGAGGAGTGATTATTCTGATATCGGGAGAACCCGGGATGAAAACAGTTATAAAACGGGAGAAAATTACTAACACCTCCTCCCTTCTCCATTCAAATACCCACGTGTCACCACACCGCCTACCGCCTCTCAGGAAGCATGAACCCATACGAAGTGTAAGCCGTCCCGAACATCCTACGCCCCATCAGCCCTGTTCTCTTCCCAACCTTCAAACATCGAAAGAACAAACACACGTATTCCCCACAACCAAGCCAATACAAACCCCGCCACTCCGCCCCAGCAAAATCACGTTAACCCCTATCATCGCATACCACAGCGAGGCGATCGCAACGCCATACTTCTCCAGCAAGCCTCGGAAGAGCCCGCGTTTGTCGTACACCGCATAGACCATTGCCGCGAGGAATGTGAGTGTTACGGCGGTTGGGACTGCGTTTATGCTGGTCTTTGTTAGGAGAGGGGAGGGGAGGGGAGGGGAGGGGGAAGGCACCTGCAGGTTGATCGGGAGATGTTTTTTTCTAACGCTAGGATGTAGCAGAGGATCATGAAGACGAGGTGGAGTGATATGGTTCCGATGTAGAATGCCCGATGGCGGGATAAGGGGGTTTGGGGCATTGGCATGATGTTTAGCCTGGTGTTGGTGGTGCTGCTGGTAAGGGTTTTTCTCTCTCCTTGTTTGCTTTTTTGTCGCTGGTGGAGTTGGGTTGGGTTGGGTTGGGTTGGGTCGAGAGCAGGGAAAGATGAAGTGGTAGTGCCGAGTCAGTCACTGGGCACGCCACGACCCACGATGCAGGTTCCCGCCTAGCTGACCCCCTCCCCTCCACCTCCCCATCCCACGATAGCACCATAACATGGTAGGGCTATGTCTATGGATTTCGGCTCAGTTAATGACGCTTGTGTTCATGCTACTCTGTAGATCATTACCTCTCACTCGGAGAGCAGAAGACATGGTATAGCCCAGGTTTAGGGCCGGTTTCAAGACATCCCATACAGCATCTCCAAGAATATAGCCTTAAGCTAACCTCTCGCCATTCCTACGCACCACCAACCTCAAACATTTTCCGAGATCATCATGATTGCGTACAAACACGAATATCAGAATCCGAGTTGCACCACTAGGGGGGAGGGGGGAATAATAACTGAAGCCAATTGACAGCTTTACTGTGAGAACGCAGTGAACGCACAACACCTGGGTTCGTAGCAAGAAGCACTGGATCGAATTTTCCTTTCTGGGGACCTTCGAATGATTGCCGATATTGGCGGTCTAACTCTCAGAAGGCTCATTGATGCAATCAATCCTATCCCGTTAGGCTTGGATAGTGTAGTGAAAGGATGAGATTAAACCTTGGCTAATCACCTAGTATAGGGCGGTGAGTTCATGCAAGCAGCTTTATTTTACTATTATGATATTTGTATTTATTTTATTCACCCTTATGCTTTTCCCCTCGCTGGTAGGGAGGTAATCACATATCCGGTTCTTCCGCGTGTTGAGTGCTGTGTATAGCCCATGATACCGCTAACACAGCAACCTGTAAGCTGTGCAGAGATGAGTGGGGGGGCTTTCCCTTAACCCCACCTACCCACGCCTGATACAAACGAGGGCGAAAGGCATACTATTAGTTCACTAAATATCACTCGGTATCCTGGACGGGGAAACCCAAAGTTGACGCGCAACAAATTTTCTAAATTCCAAAAACTAAACATGCGAGAACATCAATTTTTTTTCCGAACCGCCAATTGTTCGCACAAGAGGCCCTATTTTCCCCGCCATTTTCAAAAAAATCAAAATCAATAAAATGAAACCGTCACATTTTTCCACCTCCGGTCCGTGAGAAACCTTACAACCTGAAAAACAAAAAAGCGAGTAAATGGAGATAAAACAAAACCAAAAACCAAAGAAAAAAAACCAAAAAACAACGCGAGAACCCACTCCAAGGAAACAGAGTGAAAGCCGGGCTTTCCACCCTCGGACTACCCCCAGCTGATCTAGCCTTCCCATCCGATCAGCACTGGAAGAAACAATCTCTACCACGTAGTTCATTGAAACCCATTGAATCTGGGGAAGTCGATTGTTCCGTGAAGGGTGAACGGGGTCCACCAATCAGAAATAACCGGCTCCCCCGGAAACGAAGGATGCCTATAAATCACGTGAAAGAAATTATCCATTCGCCCCTACTTCATAGTTAGAGGACAAAGATGCCAACACCGGGCATGAGAATTGCTGGCTTATCAGCCAAAGAGTTTGGGGGGAGTAACTATCTCCTGCCGCGGCGGCGCGGGTAAAGCGCCGAAATTTTCGGGCTCCTATAATCCATCCCCTGGTGCTTCCTGCGGATATGGTCGCGCATGTTGTCGACGCGACTCTTGAGAACCCCACAGCCTGGTGCGGGACACGCGGGATGCTTCATGCTTGCGTGCCGAGTGTCATAATGCCGCTCCCGATCTTTAGCGTTTGAGGATCTGTAGGTGCAGTTCCCCATCTCGCAAGCATACGGCTTGGTGTGGGATTTGTGATGCTTTCTAGCATCGCACCGCCGCTTGTGGCCGGGGTGGGTACATCCGGCTTGAGGGCATGCCCACGTGCCGTCAGGGTTCTGAACGGGCTCCGGGGCGGGGAGTGGTGGAGAGCTTGGCTCCAGAGATGTTCCGGCTTGGGGGAATGCCCATGTGCCGTCAGGGTTCTTGAGGGGTTCCGGGGCGTGGGGTGGTGGGGAGCTTGGCTCCAAAGATATGGGAGTTTGGGGGATCTGATCCCCGGGGGATGATTTGAATGAGTTCGGGGTCTCCACGGGGGAAGAAGGAAAATTTGAGGAAGGGGACCCGAAAGAGAAAAGGTCTCCCGAGGAATCGTCCCCAAATTCGCTCCTAGGCAGCCACTGGGGATCTCCGCACAGCGTCGCGGGAGATGTTTGTGGCGTCTCTAAGGGTGATATGTGAGGCGTGAACATGAATATAGGATGGAGGGAGGCATCCGTGGGAGTTTGGGGTAGGTCGGTGTAGTCGAGGATCGGTTCCTCGTACTCGGGGATCAATGTGTATATCGCGTCCGCAAAATGCGAATTATCTGGGTCGTATCCCACAGGAAGATACTCCCCGGGTGTGAATTGATCGTATCCGGACATGTTTGTGATGGGCCAGGAGCAGGGGGTAGGAGTTAATAGACGTAGTTGGCCTACAGGAGCAGGCAGAGAGGCGCTTCTAGAGGGATAGAAGAAGAGAAAAAACGCGGCGGTTGTTATAGGTATAACAAAATGTTTCAGAGCAATTAGCTCGTAGGATAGTTTCTGCCCTAATCGTCAGGCTCACAATTCATACACAATTTTAGTGGGAACATAGGAAAAACATACTTAAGCGTGAAGCGGGGCGAGATCGATGTAGCTGTTCCAATGTATAGGGGGGTTGGAAAGCTGAGGGAAACAGCGGTAATAACCACAATGCTTCCTTCGAGTTTGCAGTGTATCGCCAAAGCCGCCAGCTTCATAGGAGGCTGCTCCGTTTATTTGACCAGGAGTTCTCAGCCTAGGAGGTGGTTTTGAAACGACAAATTCTCCCGTAGAGTTGAGGAGAGCACCGGCGCGAGCACCGTGTGGAATCCCCAACGCCGCCACGAGAAAAGTGGACACCGCGAGTGGTAAGAGCCAGATAACAAGCATGTATGACGCGAACCGATTTGCATCCCCCGATCCACCTGTTTTTAACCCGACTACAGAAGCCCACCCCTTGGATGGCCCTCCAGCGACCGACGGCTGCGTCCCAAACTCTCTGTTCAAACTAGAATCCCCAACAGTACACTTGCAACTTCGACAATCCCCCGAAGAGTCATTATTGGACAAAGTGATACCATTAGAGGATAAGACTTCAGTGCCGAGGCATAACTTATCAACCCTGTGATATCGGTGGCCCCGAGGGACCTTGTCAAACAATGTAGCCTCGTTTGGAGACCATTGACATTGAGCGCACTTTAAAGGACATGTGGTCGAGTAACCCGCTACGTGGAGCCTCGAGGAAACGGAGAGATTACGGATCAGCTGCCTAGTGAAAGGAGGATCCATCAAATGGCTAGAAGGGGTGTGAGATTCCTTACGCGTGTTAGTAAATATTCATGTATATGGGGAGGCTTGTACACACAGAGGGGCCTGAGAGAATATGGGAAGTGACATGTTGCGATTTCGGGACTTTTGGGGGCGGGAGCCGGCGCTGTGGGTCATTTTCGATGACAGTGGTCTCCGCGTTGTCGATGTAAGGCTCACCGGGGAAACTAATTGTCACGTATCAGCATCGATTCCCCTGGGGCGGGTGCACGGGGGAGGCGAGTTTCCGTGCAAACTTCCGGTGAATTGGGGAGGAAAGAAAAACTGAAAATCTCGACACATACTTGGGGTAGCCATCGTGGCCCACCGCCTCTCGAGCGGATGACTTTCCGATGCCCATCTGGGTGGCCATTTTGAAACGAGTATGTGGTCGATGATACCCTGATTCAATCATTGGCTAATTTCCAGGACGGGGGATTGAAATGTTTTGATGTTTGGAAAGGTGAAAAGGAGGAGGAGGGTAGTTAGACGTAGAAGAGGGGAATAAAGGAGCGACTAGAGGGTGAGTAGAGGTTTTGAAAGTGTTGGTTGGTAAGTAAGTTGAAGGTGAAGAAGGAAGGAGGAGTGAAAGGCTGGGGTGATGGTTCTTCTTTTATGGTTGAGAGGCTCTGCGGAGGGGAGCTGATGCCTGTTCAGGCCTCCAACAATTGGAGGATATTATTGGTTACAATTGGTTGAGGGATGGCGGCTACCGCCAATTGGAGCATATGGGAGATTAAGGACACCCGTGCTCGCATCTGCCTTGTTCAGTGAAATACTCGAGCACTGAGGGAAGCGATGAAACTGCAATTGGAAATACTCGTGTAGTACAAGTACAAAACTCGGGAATCCCTTTTCAGTGGCGGGATAACTTACACTACCAGCACAATTGTGATGCTGGCACAGTATGGCACTACGATACGGTAGTGAGGGCAATGATAATGGGAACCATAGTTCGACCATTTTTCAGGCCAACCTTCAACCAGAGCAAACAATCCCTCTCCCCCACCCACCATCCATCTGCAACAATTTCCCCACAGGAGAATCCATACAACACCTCACAATCCATCCGACTCTCGTTTGACAACCCCCCCCCTTCACCCTCACTTTAATACCCAATACTCCAGATCAAGTCAAAGCGTCCAACCGGTTGACAGCCCGCAAAAAAAAGACAAAGACGGGGCGAAGCAAACCTCGATGGACTTTGTGAATATGGTGAATAAAAGTGCAGTTAGAAGCGTGAAGCATGACTCGTTGGCCGGGGCAGTCGAACTCGAGGGGCCCTAATGCTGCGGAAGCAGTGCGCCAATCGGTGACAAGCTCGAACTCGTAGAGGCTTTGACATCCGCAGAATCGACGGCCTCTGGCCCACACAAGTGACATGCATGTCGAATCGAATGATCCACGACTAGCATGATAGCAGCGGGGCTAGCATGATAGCAGCGGGTAGTAGACAAAGTCCTAACTTGCGAGCCCATTCCCTCCGGAAAGGGTGAATTTGGTAGGGTATGCTGATCGGCAGAACTTAGAGTGCGATAAGATTCTACACTCACAAGGGTATATTGCCGCGAGCACAGAAACCATACATCCATCCCTCAGACCCTTACGAGTACTCGTACAGTATCATAATATTATTATCATACTTCTTCCTTTCTTCCTTTCACAGGGGGACCGTACAACCCATACCCCGCTTCGGCCCGCGACAGCCGTAGGGATAGAGATTTCCACCCCGGAATTGCGCTTTTCCATAGCCAGTTTTCTGCACTCCCCGCCACCCCTCTCCCCCAAAACTTACCTCATGGCGAAATAAGTGAAAACAAATTAACAAAAAAAGCCCCGGACGGGGACTCTGCCGGTTAGCATACGGCCAAGAGCTCCGAGAATGGGAGGAAATCGATTCGCCCGAATGCAATATATTTCTCGGGAAGCTGCATCTCATATCGCGGCGACAAATCCGTTGAGAATCGAACCAGACCATTTTTTTTACACTTTTCTTTTTCCTTTCTTTTTCCGTTTTCCGGCGCTAAATAGGTGGAAGAATGAAAACAAGGCTATGTCTCTGCTTTCATCGTTATCAATAGGATCGTGTTGATTGCTCTGACTGCAACTGTCGGAGTTGGGGGGGGGTCAAGTTACTTATCCAACCAGTAGACTACCGGTACCGTAGTGCCCCAAGCAAGGTCTACTAACCTCGCATCATGCTCGCACCCTGTCCATTCACCATGAAAACAACACATGCTATCATGCCCCCCCCCCACAGAATCCACATCCAAAAGCAGAAGGTTGCATACCCCGCTACGACCCACTGTCAAGGAGTCCCCCAATCAACTCCCCCGCCAAGCAAAATTGGGCTCCCGTCCGTATGGTGGTGTAAGTAGAGATACCGTTATGATATTTTCCAAAAAAAAAAATATAAAAATTCAGGCGAACCATTGATACTCGAATGAGAGTAAACTTGATACCGCACTGGCATTGCACCTCACTCCAGAGCTTTGAAGTTCTGGAAAGCGCAGGAAAAACAGATAGAATGGGTCGGTGTGATATTGCGCTCTAGGCAGAAAGCCTAGCTTGATAGTTGTATGATACGCGTACCGCCGAGTACTTCACTATACGCTAGTAGGGAAGTACTCGTACCAGTGCTCGAGTACGGTAGGGTATGTTTTGTTTTGCCTATACTCGAGTATATGATACGTGCCATACCGTACCTGTGCATGGGATGAGAAGATCGGCAGCAGACGGTTGTCTGCCATGCTACAATAGAGATGCTGGGTCACTGATTTAATAAAATACTACCGGTAATTTACTGCGCTTTCCACAGATACCCCAAGGTCTCTCAGGATGTTCAAGCTTGCCATCGTTCCGTTTCCACTAGAGACCGCCCCAACAACCCACACCCTACCGGCAGCCAGTACAGTACCGGTACTCGAGTACAGTACTCGTAAATACTTGTAGACTGCTGTATGATATGATACAGCATCACCATCTCCCATGCCCCCCTTTCCTTGATACACCAATCCATCGCACAGCAAATCACCCACTCCAAACCTTAACCCCAGCCGCTATAATAAGACCCGGCTGAGGAAAAAAACGCCAGAAAGAAAACCTTATTTCCACTCGTCCACTCACTCACCTTAATTTCCCTCACTCCCCACGGACCAAGCCCGCCCATGCAAAGGGGCCTCAAAACCGACAAAAAACAAAGACTGCACTACAGACCGTTAACCCGCCCAAGCGTGCAAGTACGAGTACTGCACAGCAGGGCTGTGTGTGTCAAAAAGTAAAGAAACACTTGGATCTCTGTAGATCATCAATCAGTACTGGTATATCTGGCCAGACCTATTGATACCGGTTCGCTATTCGTCGGGAACGCACCCATGCGGCCGTTGAAACTTGAAGGAGTTACTTTGAGCACGGTTGTTACGGGAGATCTAGGGATGGGATGGGGAGGGGAGCAAACGGTTGTTTGTGCCTTGCAACGCTCGATGGGAGTGCTCTTGTTCCAGATCATTCCGCACGGGAGGAGGCCGGGGGCAAAGAGGTCGTTTGCGCCAAGAAGGGCATGATACGGGTAGTATGTTGCATGGTGTTACCGTGTCCTATCCTACCTATCCTATCGGGATCTGCGGGTGTGAACGGCATGTAGTCGCTTCTCAAGAGAGCCTAGTTTGGCTGGCTAGGTTGGCAGCAGCACTCAGGCTTCCCGCTCTATCATGGAACTCTGCGCTGGGAAGTCCAGCACCTCACCTCCCCAATTTCGATCCACACCAGGCCACCATGACCGTCCACCGTACCGCCTCGTACTCCACAAAGTTGCCCCCTACAAATCTACTATCGTGACGAAAATTATAACTCAACCTTCCAAACATCCACATCAGAATCTTCTGGAAAAGGCTCTTTCCCCACCGATATCCTCTCTCTCTTCCACCGCCCTGCCCTGCCCTCCCGATCCATAGCCCGTCAATGGCTCCTACCGTAGTTTGAAAGAAAAGAAAAAAAGCAACAATACCGCGGAAGTGAATTCCTACTTGTGGGGTTCTCCGGGGTGGAGTTACACTAAGGATGAGTTGATGGAGGTGGAGGTGGTGGAGCAGGAGCGAAGAGTATGGAATTGAACACCTGGCTGGATAGCTACTGTGTCATAGATCGGCGAATTACAGATAGAAATTGGGTTTCTGGGGGGTTGGGAGGGTTGTGATGAGGGGTGCGAGTCCCAGGTGAGTCATGGAGTTTGTCCCCTGATATTCGGGGAGGAAGGGTTCTTCACGTGATAAGGCTGGAAATGATAGTGATAGTTGGCGGGTACCGCGCTTGATGTTTTAGCGTCACACGCGGAGAGAATGCAGTATCGTAGATAATGGATTACCGGTAAATTTACCGTATTCTAAATTATCATTCTATACTCGTACGCCGCGTTATCTCAGGCATTGCTTACTCACCCACTTCCTAGAGTTCGTACCCAATCATTCCTCCATGTGTCGCCATCTTTCCTGATAAGACCAGCGTTTAATATGTCTCATTGGCAGGCTATAGCCGACTAGTAGGAAACACTGATCCCTTTTGCCCCACCCTCCCTTCGCTAAATACCGGTAGTATACCTACCCCACAACGTAACTTGTTCTGGGAGTATGGTTTGACATCTTTACGACACAACCACGAAAAATCAGCACGATATCTAGCAGCACCCAAGGATACCAGGTGCCCCAGGAAGAGAGGAGTTAGTAAAAAAAAAAATTTGGCTTGGGTAATAGCCTGTTACCCTCCTATTTCGCTTCGCTCATAGTCGGGAAAACCAAGTGTGACGTAGAAGCAAGTGTGACGTGGAAGCAGGTGTGACGTCCCTGTTTATTTTTTATTTTTTTTGCATGATATGCTTATATAACAACAGTTATCCACCAAATACAATCTAGCATGTATATATAGCTTACAAATTTTTAATTAGGGGCTATGAAATTTGCATTTCTTGCAATCGAGTTACAAGATGTACATTAAGAATCAAAATTTAATCTACCTGTTAAGTTATCACTATTGCTACCTCTCTAACTACTACGTAGGTGAATAACAGTGTCTCTTGTAAAATCCCCTCCAAAGGTCAGTTGTCTATAAGGAAAATTTATTCACAAATGACCAGATTTACTCTCAGGACCACTCAGTTAAGCAGTATTATTAGAAATACTATAGCTAGTTTCAGTAGAAGATACTGGCTCAAGCAACAATAGAGCTTGCAATAAACCTAGTAGTGGTTGAAGTATCTCCAGATCCTCAGTACTTGGATTCATTTCTAGGTCTAGTATTAGAACTAACAGAGTTCCAGTACAGTTTTATTATTGGTTATCTAGTGTATATAAATGGAAGATGGTATTACGAATGTGGCTAGGCATGGAAAAGGTTTTCACATGACGCATAATTATGAGTCATAGGTATGCTATTGTTTTGCACATATGACTCATTGGGGTCATATGATTTGTTATGTTATGGTTTGGTAGGTTTCGCACATGACTTGAGTATGAGTCATGGGACGTGTGCCTGGTAAGTATGCCTTACAAGTGTACCTTGCGGGT